GCTGAGCTTGTTGCTCTGGTTGTTTTCTCTGTCTTACAATCTCTCTTTCAAACGCCCGGATATCTGGAACTCTTGGAACAAGGTTTGTTGTGCCTTTGCTCCTCAAGTTCATACACCTGAAATTCAAAGAGAGATACAAAAAAAGAACCAGTAACAAAGTAAAAGAAAAATGACTTAGTCTCAAGCAAGTGACTAAATCTCTATGTTTAAATCTACTCGGAATTTGGCAACAGCGCCAATTTGAAGTTATGAGTTTTCAAGGCTCCTAAAACAAATGTTGTAGTATAAGAGATTGTCGAACCAATTCTAAGGGATTTTAAAGCACTGAGAATGCAAGTACTCACTTAATCTAAGTGCAATCGAATAAATTATTGTTTTGAACTAAAACTAAAAATATTAAAAGCAATAACTGAATAACTTCCTTGATTATGATAAAGGAGAACCCATGGGAGTAGAGAATAGATCTTGGGTGATCAAACTTCAAACTAAAGATGGCAAATGATCAATTTAACTTTCAACCTTAAGTCTAGACACATTTTTAAGCAAGCTCTATGTTTAGATGAATGCTCATTTACTAACATAACTCAATCATCAAATATCTTCGGTTGAATGTTACAACAATAATCTTTAAGAACTAGTCTATAGCCATCTTAACACCCTTAACAACAAATGTCTTTGGTAAAGTGTGTTAAGAGCCTAGGAGAGTTGACTCAGGTATTTGATCGAACACCTTGTGAGGTGTGAAATACCTAAAGATCAACCTTTGAGAGGCCAACTCAAAGGGTGCATTAAGGATACTCTACTAGCAAGGAATAAGAGAAATCTACACTAAACATCCTAGTTCTAATCTAATCACCCTTAATCTCCCTATCCCATGAATTCAGTGGTGGATTACTCACTAATCAACATGATTCCTCTTAAACCCATTCTGGATTGAAGCTTAATCATATAAAACAAGTGAAATCAACAATGAAACAAAACAAGAACAATAAGAATAATTAACAAAACAAGAACAATAAGAATAATTCAAAAGATGAACTTTCCAAGAGTTTTTGTGTGTTTTCTCTTCCAAAATCAAGATCGATCTGTCTGGTAGGCTTACAGGATACTTAACTTAGGTTTTTCAAATGTCAAAACATAAAGCAAATGACCAAAAGGTCCAAAATAAAAAAAGTTTTTCGTACACAAAAGGCACGCATCAACCTGGCCGCGTCGCTCTGGGAGGTCGCTCCAGGGCTGGAGTGACTTGGCCAGGTCGCTCCGAAGCCATCTTCTGCTTCCCGTCGATCTGAGTTGGGAGCGACCTTCAGGTGTCGCTCTGGCTGGTCGCTCTGATGAGAGGCTGGAGCGGCTTCGTGGAGCGGCCTTCGCTTTGGGTGTCGCTCTGATGTGGAGCGACCTTAGGGGCTCGCTCTGGCCTTTGTTTGAGCAAAACTCATCTCAAACTCCTCTTTTGGACCTCAAATCCACTCAGTCACCTTCAAGAACTCCAAGTATACTCCCTTACCTGAAAATGACTTATGTATGCAAAATGCATCCTAGAAATGACCAAATCCTAGTCCATATGATCAAAATGCACATGGGAGAATGGATAAAACAATAGAAATATGCAAGATATCATTATATTAATCAATTATTTAAAATCATATTTATTTGTCACTTCTTATTATATATTTATCTTATTGTAATTGAATTTAATTATTAAGAAATTAATATATTCATGAAAAACATATTTGAAAATTATTTTTTATTTAATTTATGGTTAATTCTGACCCGTGTTTGAAAGTTGGATTTTCTTTTACCAATATTTTTATGTTTATTCGTTTTAAATAAAATCTTATTATATACACAAAAGTCTAAGATATGTTATTTTTTTAGATATGTATTATGTAGTTTGCAATTTTAAGCCGTTCTATCATCATATTTTATTTTTAAAATAAATAGTTTATATTTATGAAAANGTTAATTCTGACCCGTGTTTGAAAGTTGGATTTTCTTTTACCAATATTTTTATGTTTATTCGTTTTAAATAAAATCTTATTATATACACAAAAGTCTAAGATATGTTATTTTTTTAGATATGTATTATGTAGTTTGCAATTTTAAGCCGTTCTATCATCATATTTTATTTTTAAAATAAATAGTTTATATTTATGAAAATAAAATTTAGAAATTTAATATAATTTTATCATATTTAGTTCAATATAATAATTATATTTTAATATGATGATCATGAGTTTAAATTAAATAAAATAGGATATAATTTAAAATTTTCATTCTATAAGCGATAACTTAAAATACATTAAGTTATTGTAAAACTTTTTATACAGATTTAGTAGAATTTTAATGAGATACATATTATTTTATATACATGTATTATATGTTTCCCAAGATTTTATATTATTAGTTCTAATGAGATACATATTATTTTATATACATGTATTATATGTTTGCTAACGTTAACCCGTCTTATCAACATATTAGATATTATTTTTGAACAAAAATATTTTATACTTACGAAAATAAAATATATAAATTTATCAATTTAATACAATTTTATTATATTTAGTTTAATATGATAATTTTCTTTTAATATGATTGATTACAATTATATAATCGATAATATGATATTTTTTTTATTTTTCAATTTATAAACTTTAACTGAATATATTAATATATAATAATATTTCAAACTGTTTTCGAAAGTAATACAAATATTTAAAGATAAAAACGAAAATGAAAATCTTGTAAAAATCTTTTAAAATAGATTTGTTAGGATTTTTAAATAAATATATTTATATTTAAAATGAAAATATATCAAAGATATTATGATTAAAGTATTTTAAAGATAGTATATATTATTAATCTTAATAAAATATATTTAATAAAGTGTTTAAGTGTTGGTTCAAATTTAAAGAAGGGGGTTTTGCAAAACCAACCTAAAAATTCAAGTTAAACACAAAACCAACCTCTTTTTTTTGTCATTACTATTCACTCTTGAAAAACCTAAACTCTCCTCATGTTTCTAACTATTTACAAAATTGCCATTATTATTAAATATTATATAAATTTCGAAAATTATTAAAAACCTATTACACCCTAAACATTTCTCCTTATTTACCACAATGTCATTGTCATCAATATTTGCAACCACCAAAAACCACCATTGATGAGGTCTTTAAGTTCAAGATATGAATTGTCAACCACTTATTTCACTTTCTAAATCAACAATACTTCATTTCCTCTCATTTCCTCTCTATTTTCATCTAAACAATCCTCATAGCTCTCATTTTCATAAACACAAACTTCATAGTTTCGATTTTATTCACAAGTGAATCGTAAAAGATGCTTCTTTTGCTCATATTTGGATTCTGGACGGTGGAAAAGCTTGGAAACAAGTTTTAAACCGGAAAAGGGTAAATATTTACATGTTTTTCGTCATATCTCTAATCTATATCGCGAAAGTAAAATGTATTATATATCTACACTTACGTGTAGACTTACGATGCAGTCTACTTGTCAACGCACAGGTTACTTTTGCATTTGACCAAAATAATTTTTTTTGTAATGTAAACCTACAAGTACGTCAACGTCTTTACCTTTGAAACCAAAAACAAAAAAAAACTGGTAGACTTACAAGTACGTCTACATAAAAGATGTTAGTTTTGCATTGACCAAACTTTTGACTTTCCATAGTAGACTTCCATGTAAGTGTACATTTTGTAGACTGCTAGGCAAGTCTACTAAATGTCAGTTTTGCATTTGACCAAATCTTTGACTTCGTTGAATAGGTTAATTTTGTATTTGACTAAAATGTTTTGAAATTGACCGAAACTTAATTTTACGTGTAGACTTCTTATTCAGTCTACAAATCTGAGAAAAAAAAGTAGACTGCATAAGTCTACTATTTTATTTTGGTCAAATACAAAACTAACCTATCGGGTTATAGTGTAGACTTTTACTTCAGACTACGGATTTGTAGACGTTTTGTTTAGTCTACTTGTAGAAAGTCAAACTTGGTCAATTGCAGAACCAACCTCTTTCAAACAAATTTAAAAATGTAGACTGAATTGTAAGTCTACTTTTAAAAGTCAAATTTTGAAAGATTTCGGGTCAATTGCAAAACTAACCTTTTTAAAAATGTAGACTAAAAAGGAAGTTTACTTGTATAAAATCACATCTTTTTTTCAAATACAGAAAGTAACCCGTGAATTTGGCAATTGCAAAAACCAACCTAAACGTAGACCTAATTTGCAGTCTACAAAGTGTAAACTGAATAAAACGTCTACAGATTTGTAGACTGAATATATAGTCTACCTAGAAAAATCTATCAAATGTGGATTTGTGTATTATTCATTAAGTTTTTTCAATTTTTTATATGAAAGTGTGTGTTAGTTAATCATAAGGGTCTTGAATGTTTTTCAGAAGATAATCTGTTATAATTAGGAAGTTATCAAAAATTTTGTTTGTCTATGTTGTTAGCTAATAATCGTAGACGTACTGGTAAGTATACGGTATAATTTTATCAAACATGAAATTTCCATTTTTAAATTAAGAAATAAAACTATATGTTTCTTACTCTTAACAAAAGACAAAATGATTTATGAAAAGGTATGTTAGTTAATCTAAATAGGATGTATTGTTTGGAAAAAAAAACTATTCGACTTGCCAATGTGTATTGTTTGGATGATGTAAACATTCTTAGGACAAGTGTATATGGTTATCAAGTTTTGGTAAGTTAAGCTGTAACACATTATTACCGCCACAATGACATCTTCCTCAAATGTATTTTAATTGTGTCTTTATCATTCTGTCATCTCTACTCTTTGCTTTGCTTTTCACAACCAGTCTCAGAATAATGACTAATTCCACATGGAAAAATTACTTTGCAGGATTCATATCCTAGTTTTAAATAAAGCAAATGTCAGAAACAGAGAAAGAAACAGAACAAAAGTAAAACTATAACATAACAAGAATAAAGAGTGTGGTTGTTATCTGTCCTAGTAGTGATGATAAGTCTTCTTCCTCTTCTTGATTTGAAAATTACAAGCATCCACAGTCAAAGAAGTCATGCAACCAAACTTCCTCTTCACTTCTCTCCACACACTTATCTTCTTCTCTTCCTTATTCTTCTTTGAGCAATGAACAACACATTCAAGATTCTCAATCTCTCTGTAATCAGATTCAATGTCAAGCCTCAGCAACTTCTTATTCATATCCTCAATGTCATCATCACCATCATCTTTCTCCTTTACACTTTTCATATCTCTAGCCACCTTCTCATGAATCTGCTTCTGAGCAAAGAACAAAACCTGCACAACAATCCTCAACGGAAGCTTCTCATTCTTTGAAGCATGTTCACAAGCCTCTGGTGAAAGCTTCTTACAGTCAAGAACTCTACAAACATCCATCTTCTCAGTTTCAGTCAGATCTCTATGCCTTCTCTCCAAAAACACATCAACTGCTCTGTAGATTCCATCAGAGTATCTCAGAACATCGCAAGACGCAGCAACCGTTATTTCTCCTAACGCCTTAAACGTGTCCACACTTAAACAGCGTCCCTCGCTGCAGCATCCAAATAAAGATACAAACTTTAAGGAATTTATTTTTTCAGATCTGTTGTTTCGGGAAAGTGAATCCGGAGAGAGAGAAAGAGAACCTGAGAGGAGATTGACAGAGAGGAGACTGTTGGGTTCGGATTCGGCTGCAAAGGAGAGAGAGGCGTTCTCAAGAGGAGACTAAAACAAATACCAAATCAAAGCTTGAAATTCCACACCAAATCAAAGCTAATTGTACACGTAGAAGCAGCCATTGTAGTCAGCCACATGATTTAACAGATCGCTTTACTTATTTAGGTAACAACCTGGAAAAAAATTTAAAGAGTTAGAACAAAGATTTTTGTGGAAAATACATCTAATTTGTGAGGTTTAGAAGAGTAGAAGAATTGACTTTGTTGGAGGACATAATAACAGCAAAAAATTAGATTTTGAGCTCTTCGCAACCATCTAAGTTCACACAACTAGAGTCACTATGATTTAGAAAAATTCAGAAAGATACAACAAAAGTTTATATCTCCACACTCCACACAGAGATATGAAGTCAATATTAATTCGCTGTGAATGAGATGAGATAAAGAAACTCACGAGCTAAGTTCTCAGTGTCATCATCAAGCCTCTTTGTGTTCAAGGAGGTGCTGCTCGAAGCCGCCTTGTTAGTTGCAGCATTGACTAATAAATGCAACAAAAGAAACAAACAAAAATCCACAGTTAGATACCAAACCCTGATTCGAACAATAATTAATCAGCAAACATGTAAACTAATTTTTTTACTGTTGCAAACATTAATTAAAAATCACGTCTAGTAAGGGTAATATGTCCTCATCGCCTTCGCTCTCTTTTTGTTTTTCAGGTGAAGAAAGCAAACGACGATGCCGGACTAGCTTCCGCGGAGAGAGGGAGCCTGAGAGAAAGGGTCGCCGGCTAAAAAGCTCGCCGGAGAGAGCTGGTCGGAGAGAGAGCTCTTCAGAGAACGAGAGAGATGAGAAGATTGGCCGCCAAGAGGAGAGAACGTGAGAGATGAGAGTGAAATTTTAGGGTTATGATATTTAGAGTAGGGTCATTTTCGTCATTTGCTGTTTTTGACTCATCTGTATCGCGAAAATAGACTGTATTATATGTCTACACTTACGTGTAGACTTATGATGCAATCTACTTGTCAACGCACATGTTACTTTTGTAATTGACCAAAATAATTTTTTTGTAATGTAAACCTACAAGTAGACTGAAATAGACGTCTACATATATGTAGACTTTACTGTAAGTCTACTATACCCTAAATATTGGCGCCAATATGGAAAAATAGGCTCCAAAATTCATTTTTCCTTCCCGCTTAGTTAATTTAAATTTTAAAATAATTTATTTTGGTAAACACAAATTAACGTAGACTGAAATAGACGTCTACATATATGTAGAATTTACTGTAAGTCTACTATATGGAAAAATAGGCTCCAAAATTCATTTTCACTTCCCGCTTAGTTAATTTTAATTTTAAAATAATTTATTTTGGTAAACACAAATTAACATAGACTGAAATAGACGTCTACATATATGTAGACTTAACTGTAAGTCTACTATACCCTAAACCAGAAATCTCAAACCCTAAACCCCAAATCTCAAACCCTAAACGTTTGATTGATTATAAAAAAAATCTTAGTCATTGTACTAGATATCATATATAAAAAATATAAACTACTCAACATTAAATATGCAATTTTGAATCATTAAAACAAAATAATTCTAAATCTAGAATCTAATCTTAAGAATCTAACTCTAAAAGACATAACATGTTGGAACCTTTGGTTGCTAAACCATTAACATTGTCTACCACATAGTTCCTAAATCAATATACATTCTTTTAAATTGTTCAATTATATGAAAATTTAATTTATATACCTCATACTAACCTTTAAATTGATGATTTATTAAAAAAATTACCAAAAACATTTTTTCTATATTTTTATAATTAAATTATTTGATTGAATTAAGATGTAGACTAAATAATAAGTCTACATTAGTCTACACATGTCTACCTAGTTATAGACTTCTTTCTTAAAGTGTAGATCTCCGAAGGACAGAATCATAAAATACATTCCGCGTTTTTTGTTTGTTCATAAGGATTAAATCTATTATATTAAAAAAGAAGTCATGACTCACTTCATGTGTGATATTTTAAAATGGATCATCTACTAAAATTTATCACATAATATTATTTAGTCATTAATTAATAACCTTAAAATTAGCACCTATAATTCTGGGCTTACCAAATTTTTTTATTGGACTAACAACAATTGGATAACCCATTGAATTTATAGATAGTAAAATAAAACACCTATTTAAATTAAAAAGATATATAATTTAGTGTTGTAAAGTATACCTTCATAGCTTAATTATTTATATATTTGTCGATGTTAACTTTCAAAATCATATAGTTTATTTTTAAAATAACAAAAATCATCATTTTCTAACAATGATTAATCTACACTACCTTAAACCAATGAAAACATTTTTTAAGTTATATAGTTTATTTTAAAAAATAAAAATAAACTAAATGTCTAATTATTTACTCCATAATATGAAGCTAAAAGTTTTATATTTGTGAAACTTTCTAATTTCATAGATGTTACAATATCTTTAAAGATGAGAATAAAACAATATTTAACCAATCTTTACATATATTTACAACTTCAATAATGAAATAATAATCCAAAACAATATATATATAGAAGAATATACAAACACATGTAAAGATTTGAAACAAACATCCGTGCGATTGCACGGATCGAGATCTAATAGTAGTTTTAACACTCATTTAGGTTGGGTTTGTAATTGATTGAATATGGGGTATATCAAGGATTAAAATGAATATTTGAATTGGTTTTGGCAATTTCCCCTTCAAAGAATCACACATGAAATAAAGTCATCATGTTTTAAAAATTATTATCTTTTAAAAATTGATATATACACTTCATATATATATATATATATATATATATATATATATATATATATATATATATCATTTTAGAAGTGAAAACAAATTATTTTAATATATAAGTGATAGATATTGTCGTGAAAGAGCACACTAATCGGAACCAAAAGCGCGCCAAGGAACCCGAGAGACCAAAACCCTAATTTCGCCGACGAGAAAACATGCCGGAGCTTCCGGAGGTAGAAGCGGCGAGGAGAGCGATAGAGGAGAATTGTCTTGGAAAGAAGATCAACCGAGTCATCATCGCCGACGACAACAAAGTGATCGATGGAATCTCGCCGTCCGATTTCCAGAACTCAATCCTCGGCAAAACCATCGTCTCTGCTCGTAGGAAGGGCAAAAACCTCTGGCTCGAGTTAGATTCTCCTCCCTTTCCTTCTTTCCAATTCGGTAATTGACAAAATCTCTTCCATTTAGGGCTTTTGATTGGATCAGAATAACATGGAAACTTCACCAAAATGCAGTACTGTTCATTGTTAAAGTCTCGACCTTTAATGGTTTCGATGCATAAGAAAGTGTGTTTTGATTGATGGGGTTTCTTCAGGTATGGCTGGTGCTATCTCTATCAAAGGCGTTGCTGTTACTAAATATAAAAGGTGAAGCTTTACGGAACTTTCGTTTAAGTCATTACATTTTTGCTTATAGAGGAGAGCAGTGTATAAAGTGTAGTTCCTATGATTAAAAGATTGATTGTTATATATAACATTATTTGTATAGGTCTGCTGTTAAGGAATCAGAGGAGTGGCCATCTAAGTACTCTAAGTTCTTTGTCGAGGTTTGACAAATTTGAAAAAGTCTTTGTTTTTTAATTGATTTTATTGACACGAAGATGTGTTCACAATAATTATTTGTTCTAATTCTCGGTTTACAGCTTGATGATGGTTTGGAGCTTTCATTTACTGACAAAAGGAGATTTGCCAAAGTTCGACTTTTAGATAATGTATTTAACTACAAATGCATATTAGCTCTTATATGCTTTTCTTTACTAAGCTTGATCCTGTGGTTGCTTTGTGGTAATTGTTTATTAATTGATGTTTGTTCTTGCAGCCGCTTTCTGTGCGTCCCATATCAGAGCTTGGTCCTGATGCGTTGTTGGAGCCTATGACAGTTGATGAATTCGCCAAAAGCTTAGCTAAAAAGAAAATAACCATAAAACCTCTCCTACTTGATCAGGTTCAGAGCTTACTTCCTTTTTATCACTTTCCCTTGACCTTTTATGCTTCTTCAGCGCTTTCTTGTCCTTACTATTATCAAATATATCATTGAATTTGGATATATGCAAGTTCAAAGCGTGAAATAATTTGGTATAATCTTCTGTTTCATCGCAGAGTTTCATTTCAGGTATTGGGAATTGGATCGCTGATGAAGTGTTGTACCAAGTAAGATGAGCTCTAAGCTAATTAAAATAACTCGAGATCAAATGAATCATCTATGTAACCACTCATTTGATTCACAAAGTATTCACTGTTCTTTGGAAAATTTGTACATTTTACGACTCGATTTACATGCTGTAGGATTAATGTTGCTTGTCTTTCTCTTTCGCAGGCCAGAATCCACCCGTTGCAGACTGCTTCTAGCCTCTCCAAAGAGCAATTTGAAGCCTTACACACATCCATCAAAGAGGTAAGACTCTTATACCATTACCTACAAAACATGGGCATAATAGAACTATCTGTTAACTTGCATATGATGCATTGAGTATTTTGGATTTAGAGAAAACAGAAAGAAAAAAACATATTTGTAGGTCATTCGACATGCGGTTCAAGTCAATGCTGATAGCAAAGAGTTTCCTGTTGAATGGTTATTTCATTTTCGGTGGGGGAAAAAACCTGGGAATGTTAATGGTAAGCTTTTTCGATCCATCTATGTATAGTTTTGATGAAGACTGTTTTTGCAGGTGATAGAAAAAGCTGTGGAAGTTGATGCAGACAGTAGTCAGTTTCCTAGTAACTGGATTTTTCATGCCAGAGAAGAGAAGCCAGGAAAAGCTTTTGTTGATGGTCTGAACCCAGTTCACTATGATGTTTGATCTGTTTTGATCTTTCAAAACCTCTAACTTTAGTTGATAATCTACATAATAGTTGGCTTAAATGTCATGACAGTGATGTAACTATGTGATTGGTAATGAAGTCTGCTGTGGTTATTGCAGGGAAGAAGATTGATTTCATCACTGCTGGTGGAAGGGTAAGTGTGTGTATGCATTGTTAGTCCACTGTTGGTTGTTCGATTCCTGTGGTGAACTGAAGAAATGTGTTTGGGTGTGTTTTCTGTAGACAACAGCTTATGTTCCAGAGCTGCAGAAACTCTCTGGGAAAGATGCGGAGAAAGCAGCCAAAGCTAAACCGGCTAAAAGAGGTGCAAAACCAAAAGAAGATGATGGAGATGGAGATGGAGAAGAAGATAAAGAAGAATTGGAGAAAGAAGATGATGGTGCTAAACTGAAGAAAGGACAGAAACCTAAGGGTCGTGGTAAGAAGCCTACATTGAAGAGAAAAACAAAGGATAGTGACGAGGAAGACGATGATGATGATGGTGGAGATGACAGTGAGGCTGAAGAGAAAGACATCAAACCCAGAGGCCGTGCTACAAAGCCTGCAATTAAGACGAAACCTAAAGAGAAAGGTGGTAACAAGAAGCCGAAGGGAAAGAAAAGTTAAGAACCCACTGACTCGAAGGTGGTTTTTTTTTTGGTAAGGATCTAATATAACTTGTTGCTTCCATGTTGTGATGGTCTACTACTGCTAGCTATATTAGGTGTACTAAGGAGTTGTCCTTTACCTTTGACCTTGTTTAACTTTGGAATTAGAAAAATGATCGGAGAGCAGCAACTACTTTCTCTGGCCTGTAGACAAAAGTTTCAAAATTCAGAATTATCTTGAAAAAGCAAAGTGAAGAATAGCAAGCATCGTCTTGTATCAGTAACATACCAGTCTTCCTGAGGCAAATGGCCAGCGCCTTCAATTAGTCGAAGCTTGACGTGTTGAGGGTTCAGTTTCTCAAACTCCTCAGCTATAGACTGAGACAGGTACTTATCAGCTATTCCCCAAGCCAGAAGCGTAGGCTTGTCCCAGCTTCCTGATGAAAACCCATTTGCAATCTGACCCAAGGTGTCTCCGAAGTTGATCTTTTTAGCAGTCTCTAGCAAGGCTGATACATCAGAAGAAACTCACAAATGAGACGTCTCTTAAAATAAAATAAAAATAAAAAACATCACTGAATCACATAAGAAACGAGAGTAATGTGGTTTAGAGAGGGTACCAAAGCCAGGCCCTCCGCTTGACAAATATGGTAGACGATAGACATCAGCTTTCTCATTCTTCAAGACGTAGCTATCAAAACAGATACAATTGTTCCGTTGAGGCACATGCATTTTAAACCCAAGGTAAGAGATTACAGAGTCTACACAAAGAAAGATAATGGTGTTTTAGTTTGATACATACGGGCTACCTCCTTCAATGAACCGCTCGGCCAAGATAGCATTTTGGCACGTGAATTCACCAAAGAGAGGAATCCTGCATCAGGACACACGAGTATAACTGTGAGAGGCAATCATTTACATTATATGTAGCACTTAGAGGCCGACACAAAGAGCCACAAGCACTTTTAGAGTCGAACCTCAGCTGCTTAAACAATCCAGGAACTGGGGATGAAACGGTCAATGGAGTATTAAGAATCGCAATTTTCTCGACCTTGCTTGGATTTTTCAATGCCCATGTTAAACCGTAAGAGCCTACAAGAAAGCCCTTGGGAAACCACAACGAATGCAAGCATAAGTTATACGTAACAATCTTGAAATGAGATCAGTACACAGATACGAACCTGAACAACGAGAAAGAAAGGAGATTTGATCTCTAGCACGTCAAGCAGTTTATCAAACGCCTCATGGTACTCTTTCTCTGACAAATACTTTTTGAAACTTATTAGAGGCAACAAAGAACCATGTCTACTTGATTCCATATTGCAAATCAACAAACCTGTGTAATTAAAACCATATCCTGGCTGAGGTTTGTCACTGAATCCGAATCCTATCCAATCAGGTGCATAGCAATGAAACCCAGCTTCTGACATCTTTCATTACATTTGTTGAGAAACGTACAAAAAGATTCACAGCTTATTATAATATATAGTTTATATATGTGAAGAAGTAAAGATTCGAGTGTAGCAGCACCTCAGACATGACAGTACGGTAACTAAAAGACTGAGTTGGAGCTCCATGAAGAAACACAACTGTTCCTCGACGACTCTCCTTTGATCCTGTCGGAAAGAAACAAGTATGTTAATCAGCAGTGATCATCATCAAACTCTTCTCGAAGAAAGAAGAAACACAAAAAAAAAGGGCTTATGATAGCTACCAGTTTCTCTGACAAACCATCTAAGCTTCCCAGATTTGATGGTGGAACCAAACTCTCTTCCCTTATCTTCAGTCCTCTAAAACAGAACCAACAACGTAAACTTAAAGTTGATTCTTGATCTCATATAGAGTTTAAAAGCAACTCTCAAGTATTCAACATTGGATAGGTGGAACTCACGTAGAGAATCTGACCGACGTTACCGTCTTCAGCCGGAGACTCCGGCAGCTGAATTGCGCTCCTGCTAGATGGATTGTCCGTAACGAAGCCAAATGGATTGAAAGATGGATCTTCCTCACTTCCTTTCTCCGACGTCGCTTTGATGGTGCACAAGCGGAGTCTAGACGGCGTGGCTATGATTCTAGAGGCGGTGGATTTTGTCGGAGAGAATGAGTGGAGCAGAGGAAGCGGAGAGAGCAGAGACAAACCCATTTTTCTTCTTTTTGTTATTTGTCAGAGTTAAAAAAAAAAAAAAAAAGCTCGTTTCCTGTTTTTATATGTCCGTTATCACACAAACGACAACGGTTTTACACAAGGAGGGTTTAAACCCATTTAATTGAAACGTTTGGATCTTTTCTTATATTTAACAAAACTACAGGGGCTTCGGTGGAAGCAAAAACGACAGCGTATTACAACCGCACGTGCTTTCCAACCTGTGAGAAAAGAAAACCCTAAAAGATATGTCTTGTTCTAAGGAGATGCTAGAGTCACCAGTCGAGGCCCCAAAACACCTTCACCCTCACAAAGAAGAAGACTTAACTACCCAACCCAACCGCCTTTACAAAAAGGTCAATACCCGCGCAAAACTTCACTCCCGGGTCGGATCTTCCCTGCCAAACCCGACCGGATCCATCCCGGATCGATTCTCAGACAAATCATATAAAGACAAACAACTCTCAATGGAGACAAGTGATTCTGGCGATGTAGATGTATGTCTTTTTTGTAACAACTCATAAACCCCCCCCCCCATTTTTTTGTTGGACTGATTATGCATCCTCGGATCGTGTTCTTAGAAGCTTGGTTTATTAGTTAGTTATAAAGTTTGTAGCTTTTACTAGTTTTGAGGTGTTTGCACATTTACCATCATAAATGTTATGTTACAGGTACAAGCATCTACTTATTTACAAACGGATGAGACCCACGAAAGAGATGACGGTGGAGAAGCTCTGATTTGTAGTAGTGACCATGAGATTGATGTTGGGTTTACTCAAAACGAACAAAGAAAGAGTGAACAAGAGACGAGAGAGTTTGATGAACATCTTGTTGAGGGCAAAGAGTTTGATGCTCCAGCAGTTGGTATGGAGTTTGAGTCATACGATGATGCTTATAACTATTATAACTGCTACGCTAACCAAGTTGGGTTTCGTGTAAGAGTGAAGAACTCATGGTTCAAGCGGCGTAGCAAAGAGAAATATGGTGCTGTGCTTTGCTGTAGCAGCCAAGGCTTCAAGAGGGTTAACGATGTGAACCGTGTAAGGAAAGAGACACGAACTGGTTGTCCTGCAATGTTGAGAATGAGGCAGGTTGATTCTAAGAGGTGGAGGGTGGTTGAAGTTACGCTTGACCATAACCATACGCTCGGTTCCAAGATGTATAGATCTGTTAAAAGGACAGGGAACAAGAGGAAGTGCACAGACTCAGATGCTAATACGATTAAGCTGTATAAGGCTCGTGTGATGGATATTGGGAACAGTGTGAACCCAACAAACTCCACTGTGAAGAAACAGTTTCAGAACTCTTCTAGCTCACTTTATAAGCTCAACCTTAGAAGAGGAGACTCATCAGCTATCTACAACTACTTTTTCCGTATGCAGTTGACAAACCCAAACTTCTTTTACCTTATGGATATAAACGATGAAGGTCAGCTAAGGAATGTGTTTTGGGCAGATGCTTTCTCTAGAGTTTCTTTCAGTTACTTCAACGACGTCATCTTCATAGACAATGGTTATATATCCGGAAAGTTTGAGATTCCTCTGGTGACATTAGTGGGAGTGAATCACCATGGACAAACTACATTGCTTGGATGTGGTCTTCTTGCTGGAGAGACACTAGAGTCTTACCATTGGTTGCTCAAAGTGTGGTTTGGTCTCATGAAGTGCTCTCCTCACACCATTGTCACAGACAGATGCAAGCCTCTGGAAGCTGCAATCTCCCAAGTGTTCCCGAGGTCTCATCACAGGTTCAGTCTGACACATATAATGAGAAAAGTCCCTGAGAAGCTAGGAGGGTTGCTTAACTACGATGGCGTCAGGAAGGCGTTCATGAAAGCAGTGTATGAAACCTTGAAAGTTGTTGACTTTGAAGCAGCTTGGGGGTTTATGGTTCACAGTTTCGGTGTTATCGACAATGAATGGCTACGTTCCTTGTACGAAGACCGAGCTAGGTGGGCTCCCGTTTATCTCATAGACATGTTTTTCGCTGGACTCGCTACTTGTCGTCCTGGAGATACCTTGAGTCCGTTTTTTGAGAGGTACGTTCATAAACAAACACCGTTGAAAGAGTTTCTTGATAAGTACGAGTTAGCTCTTCATAGGAAGCACAGGGAAGAAGCTCTCGCTGATTTAGAGTCTCTCACCTTGAGCACAACCGAGCTTAAAACAAAGTGTTCTTTCGAGACGCAGCTCTCTAGAGTCTACACAAGAGACATGTTCAAGAAGTTCCAAGTAGAGGTGGAAGAGATGTACTCATGTTTCAGCACAACGCAGGTCCACGTAGACGGGCCTTTGGTGATCTTCCTCGTGAAAGAACGTGTCCAAGGAGAATCAAACAGAAGAGACATCCGCGAGTTCGAGGTTCTGTACAATAGGTCAGTAGGTGAAGTACGGTGCATTTGTAGCTGCTTCAGCTTCTATGGATACTTATGCAGACATGCTCTATGTGTTCTCAACTTCAATGGCGTTGAAGAGATCCCTCTGCGGTATGTTCTACCACGGTGGAGGAAAGACTACAAACGTGTTCATGCATCTGATAATGGCTTGACCGGTTTTGTGAATGGCTCGGACCGGGTTCAAAGGTTTGATCAGTTGTATAAAGGGGCTCTTGAGGTAGTTGAAGAAGGAGCGCTTTCTTTGGATCGTTATAAAGTGGCGATGCAAGTTCTTGAACAGTCTTTGGATAGAGTTCATAGTGTAGAAGAAAAGGAAGCGTAGTGTTTGTTTATAGAAGGGTTTGTGAAAACTTATACATTTGTATATCGAAAACTATTTATTTCTTCTTCTGCTGTAAGAGAGCTGTAATAATAAGCCAGGAGGCATGAAGCCAAAATTAATGTAAATAGGTAGATTGGTAACTGTGTAACACTCAAAAAACTGACGTTTAAGGTCTTTAACATATCCACGATGATTTTGTTATTATTCTGAGTCAGACTAAATGTTCATGTAACCATAAACTATTTGTATATGCAAAACTGTTACAAATGTGATCATCGACGTATGTGGATACTAAGCTTCTTTTCTCTTGGTGTTTACTTCATCATAGTACAGATGTCACCTTGTAATATTTTTGTCTTTTTCTTTAGTTGGTTGAGTTAGCCGACCATTCTTTCCTATAAATATCATTTCAATTTTTTGTAACTTGATATAATAATGAGATGTTAATAATAACTAGATTTTGACCCGCGCAACCGCGCGGGTGTTTGTTTTCGTTTATAGTTAGTTATATAAACATTTTGTTTTCACTTGTAAATTAGTATATATTATAGTAATCACATATTTACGATATGTATAGTAAATGTTATTCAAACATAATAATATTATATAATACGTGTTTTAATGAAATAAATTGTTTCAAATTTTCTATATTATACATGTTTTTCAAACATGTGTTTGTTTCTTCTTCTATATTTTATTGTTTGTTAGATTAGTATTTCATTTTTAGATAAAGTAATATAAATAGAGCTTGATTAAATATTAGTATACTTTAATTTGCAAAGATAATATAAACTTCGAAGAAATTTTTGCTAAAACCTAAACTTATAGCTTCATAAATTAATATTATAAAGAATTTTATTAAAAAGGAATTTTTATACAATTTCTTTTTTTTTAAACAAAATAATTTTAAAAATTTACATCGAAATAAATTTATTTAGTATATATAGCATGTAAATTTTGTTAGGGGTATATATATATTCCATATTACGAATCTGTGATTTTTTTTAATATATTGTGGATGAATTTAACTATTATTGACATATTTCCGTATAAATAATAGAAGATTCCTAAACTTATATCTATTGACATATTTTGTGTGACTAAGTTGGAAGGTTTAGGGTAATTTACCAAAACCAAATTGTTAATCGTATCTTTGTTATTATAGATATGATTTTTCATAAGATACAATACATGATAAGATTATTAGAAACTTAATGGAACATGACTTTCTAGTAATAGTCCATTTTTTAAAAAATCACACATGAAATCAAGTCATGACTTCTGTTTTAATATATAAGATAAGTCACATACTTCTCACGTCTCATCTCTCTTTGTTTCATCAATCAACACAACACAAAAAAATAATAATTAGTATTTCACTTATTTACAATACGTTAACACGAAGCTCTGATCTTATTGTTCCGGAGTGAGAGGCTAGACCTTCTCCATTTATTTTTCGGGATGACATGTATTGCTTTCCCGACTGATTGTTAAGAAAAGCTATGTCTTCACGATCAGATGAGCACATTGTAGGCTTTGCCTCCGTAAATAAAAAGAAAAGATCAAAATGCATGACTATGTCACCTCGGATCTTGATAAAAAGAAAATGTCAAAAATGGTAAATTAAGTCTCCTCGGACCTTGAATAAAAAGAAAAGGTTAACTTGACAGACTATGTCTCCTCAAACCTTGATAAAAGTGATCAACATGGTAGACTATGTCTCCTCGGATCATTTGGAAGGTTAAACCTCCAATTTTATTTATGCCTTTTAAATTTCTCATTTTATTTGATACCTTTAAATTTAAGGTTTTAATTTCTGCATTTAAATTATGCATTTAAATTTCCGTCTTTATTATATATTTTATATATTATTATAGGAATATGATTATCATGTCGAATTTGAAAAAGCTCAAAATAAATGCCCTAGATATTACGGAAAATAATTATGTAATTTGGGCAGTGGGTGCAAAGATGCATCTGAAAGAAAATGAGCTTTTAGAATCATCAATAAGTTAATAACTATATCGGATGAGAAAAAGATAAAGCCATGATATTTTACACCACTCGAGAGATGGTTTATAAGATGAAATGTATCATGAGAAAAGATTCTGAGATCTTTTAAATCTTTGAAAGAAAAGACCCTTGAAAGAAAGAAAAAATTAAATCCTTGAAAGAAAGGAAAATTAAATCTTTGAAAGAAAGGAAAGTTAAATCCTTAAAAGAAAAGATTCATAAAATAGTGGAATTGATGTAAATTTTCTGTATAAACTGGAAAAAAAAAAA